GTTTGCTCACACGCATCTTCAATGTTTAAACTGCCGCAAACCAACCCTCATATTGATAAGTGTCTTTGAACCCTCTAACTTCCTCTATCGAGAGTCTTTAGTCAACTCCTATAGTGTTTTCGGAACATCCCTAATTTGACTGACTTCTAGATTAAAACACACCAAGTCCCTAACATTTGATGGACGTGTCAAACTCAACACTTGTCTAAGTATTGATTTGTACAACCCTTTTTGAGATTCTGAACATGTTTTGGAGAGAGGGTGATCCTAATCTTGTGAATGTGTTCTCGAGACTCTTCCAAACTAGGCTTCGTGGGCGTTAAAATATATTATGTATGAGATCGTCTGAAAAGTAAATCGAACTAACTTAGTCGACATTGTTAGCATGTTGAAACTATGATTGAGACTCATGACACTTATCATTTTTAAATATGGTTATTAACACTCTTGGTTGAATTCTTCCGCTAAAATTTCTAGGCTAATAGATGCCCCCAAAAATGTCGCTTTCGATCATATACAAAAGATGGAAGAAAGGTGGTGTTTTTAGTGACTGCTCGACATTGCTCAAAATAGCCTTCACACGTCATTGTCATCATAACCACTTTTCACCAAACCGTCACGTCAAGGACGTGCGTGCAGATTGTCATCATCACTCTGATTTCCTAGGAAAATCATGGGCCATAAAATTAAATCACATTAAAATAAATCATTTAATTAAATCATGGGCCATATCAGAATCATGGGCGTTTGATATGAAATGTGTTCCTTATGCGTCTGTTGTGGGTAGTTTGATGTATGCAATGGTGTGTACAAGACCAGATATATCATATGTTATTGGTACGTCAGTATATTTTTTTCAAATCTATGTAGAGAGCATTGAAACGCTGTAAAATGGATTTTAAGGTATCTTCGTGATATTACTATTGTGAGACTTTGTTTTGGAGAAGATAAGCCTACTTTGGTGGAGTAATCTGACTTTGATATGGCTGGAGACATTGATTCCAAAAAGTCCATTTCTGGCTACATGATTAAATTTGTAGCAGACTGTGGCTTGGCAGTCCAGATTGCAAAAGTGTGTAGCATTGTCTACTACAGAGACTGGGTTCATTGCAATTACAGAAGCATGCAAAGAGTTATTATGGTTGAAGAAAGTTTTGCAGTAGCTTGGTTTTGTTCAAGAGAAATATGTGTTATTTGTTGATAGTCAAAGCATTATTCATCTTGGTAAGAATTCGATTTTCATAATAGGTTCAAACACATTGATGTGGGATATCATTTGATATATGATGTTTTTTATGCTAAGTTGTTAGAGTTAGCTAATGTTGATTAAAACATTACCAAGAGGGAAATTTGAAGTTTGTTGTGATATCGCATATTTGGTGATTTCCTCCACATAGTTGTGAGGGCGATATTTGTTGGATTTGGACTCCCTTCCAATGTAGAGAAATGTCCAAATATGATTATCCAATTTGTCTTACTTATTTAAATTGGGAGGATCAATTTAAGATTGAGAGAGATAGAGAGAAAATAAGGATTCTAAAGAGAGAAAATAGGAGAGAAACTTATTTTCGTTTTTCTGCCACCAGTCTCACTAAATTGATGATCCCTAATTCGTTAACAGTCGGGTCGAGCTCAAATTTGAAGGAAAGGTTTGCAACACTTGTGTCTAATTTTTTACCATTCAGAATTTCAAAATAAGGTATGAGCCGAGAAATATCTGTTTCGCACTAAAGCTGCAGATTTGGAAAAAAAATTCAAATTTTTTATTTTTATTTGTAAGCTAGGTTTCTTTGTGATTTATCGTTGTTAGCATTAGTTTGTGAATCACTTTAAGACTCTCTTGTGCCCTTAATATCTTTGTTTTTGACGAATCGCGGTTTTTACTCTCATATTGAGGGGTTTTCCACGTTAAAATATTGGTGTTCGTTTGTGCCTTTATTTGTTCGATTTGTTGTCTTATATTTGATGTTGATCCTCAAGATTCCTACAAGTGTGGAGAATTTTATATTCGTTGCGTAATAGGATATTATCGTGTCTTAATTTCCCATGTGAGTGGTATCAGGCTGATGGTTAAATAAAGGGTCAGACTCTTTGTATCAAAAGTATTCTTGATAATATGGTGGTCAAGCGGCATATTTTGTTGTAGTTTCTGCAACGGCGGTACAAGTGTGAGTTGGGAATTCCATATTGCTTAGAATAATGGAGGTTGAGCACCTTATAAGTGAGACAATTCAAACACCTATCACATTAAAGTTTTGTTGTGAATATATAAGGTCTCTCACTTGTATGTTGCTCTTAATCCAATGTGGATGCTTCTTATGATGACCAAACAATCATCAATGGTAGTCATTGATTAGAGTGATCGTTATAAAGGTAGTTGATGATTAGATTGATGAAGAAAAATGAATGGAGTGGTGGTCGACAATGGTTGAAGTGATAGTGATGGTTAGTGGTAGTCGAAGTTGGTCAGAGCAGTGTGGTCTGAATGATGGTAGGTTGTAGTAAATGGTGGATAGAGTGATAATTGATGATGGCCGAAATAGGGTTGTGCGATAGACATAATGGTGGTCATAATGGTAGTCAATGATAGTTATAGCGGTGATCGACGGGAATGCCTTAGAGTTAAAAATAAAATTATAAACTAATATTTTTGTTTTCAAATTTAAATTAAAAAAAATAGCTCAACCTCATTTTAAACGTATATATTTTGATTTTAAAGTTGATTTTCATGACCAAAAACTCACAACCAATAATCCTTAATTTTATAAATTATGAGATTAAAAATTAATTTTAGTTAAAATAAATTATCAAGTGTAGTATAAAAAAAATATATAAACACTTAAATAAAAATTGAAGTAATTGCTTTTTAAATCCTTTACTCAACCCATGGCTCTTGCAATAACCGAAGTGCGTAGTTACTATGTTCACTCTCTCTTGCATATCCCATCAGTCATCACGCATTATAAACCTTTTTAACCAACAATCTTTTCTTCTATTGGCAGCACAAAAAGCCTGCTTCTCTTCTTCCTTAAAATACTATAACTCCTTGAACATCAAACTCTTGCAACCTCAAACATTCTTAACTTCAACAAAAATGTCACCACCATGTAAATCCGGAGAGAACCTTAGCTCAAACCTTAAAACAAACATGCTATCAGAGGAGCTAAGAATTCAAGGAAGATTAGCCTTTCCAATGGTGTTGATGAATTTAGCTTGGTTTGCCAAGACAGCTATCACAACAGCATTTTTGGGTCGACTCGGTGAGCTCAGTTTGGCGGGCGGTGCACTCGGGTTCACTTTCGCCAATGTTACTGGCTTCTCGGTCTTGAATGGTTTATCTGGTGCCATGGAGCCTATTTGTGGACAGGCTCATGGTGCTAAAAACGTGAGACTCCTTCACAAGACTCTTGTCATGACAGTTATATTGTTGCTGTTGGTAACAATTCCTGTTACTTTTATGTGGCTTCATATTGACAAAATTTTGATTCATTTTGGACAACAACAAGAGATATCAACTGTGGCTGGAACTTTTGTTTATTATCTCGTACCTGATTTGTTTGTTATGTCATTCTTGTGTCCCTTAAAAGCTTATTTGAGTTCTCAAAGCATTACTCTTCCTACCATGTTTAGTTCTGGTGTAGCACTTGCTTTTCATGTTCCTGTTAACATCTTACTCTCCAAAACCATGGGTTTAAAAGGAGTTTCCATGGCTGTCTGGATAACTGATCTTATTGTTGTGGCTCTTCTGGCCATGTATGTTGTGATTCTGGAGAATCGAGTGGAGACTGCATGGAAAGAAGGAGGATGGTGGGATCAGAGTTTTATGGATTGGATCAGGCTGATCAAACTTTGTGGATCTTGTTGTCTTAACACATGTATGGAGTGGTGGTGCTATGAGATTCTAGTTTTGCTTACTGGCCACCTCGCAAACGCAAAGCAAGCGTTGGGAGTTTTAACCATTGTGTTAAACTTCGACTATTTGCTTTTCTCGGTGATGTTGTCATTGGCCACTTGTGTTTCAACTCGTGTCTCAAACGAGCTTGGCGCAAATGAGGCTAACCGTGCTTACCGGTCTGCACGCGTGTCTCTAGGAATAGGTTTTATTGCAGGATGTACGGGAAGCCTGGTGATGGTGGCTGCAAGGGGAGTTTGGGGGCAAGTTTTCAGCCATGATAAGGGAATTATAAAAGGAGTGAAGAAGACAATGTTGTTGATGGCTCTAGTGGAATTGTTTAACTTTCCATTGGCAGTTTGTGGAGGCATAGTTCGAGGGACAGCTAGACCTTGGTTGGGTATGTATGCTAGTCTAGGTGGGTTTTATTTCTTGGCTCTGCCCCTTGGTGTTGTTTTTGCCTTCAAGCTTCGTCTTGGTCTTGTTGGACTTTTCTTTGGACTTCTTACTGGTATTGTAGCTTGCTTGTCGCTTTTGTTAGTTTTTATTGCTAGGATAAAGTGGGCGGAAGAAGCTGCCAAGGCACAGATACTAACAAGTTACGGTGTCAAAGAAGATCCATATAATGTGGCAGAAATACAAATTGGGCCTTATGAAAATGACAAAGTGTAAATCGTTTGTTCAAAGTTATATAAGTACACATTGTTCATGCGTGTGATCAAACACTTGGCAAGGACGAATAACACGTCTCTACCATGCATAACAATTCAAGATAGAAAATCACTCTGCAAGATTTCATTTGCTTGTGAAACTCGTTTCTAGAATATTTTGCTAAAAGATAACAACGTCATTCCAACCCACATGGGTTCTTTGCCATTTTAGATCACTATCTGATTTGTTTAGCCCAATTTAGTTATTTCTTCTATTTTTCCGTCTTTCTTTTCTTTTTTGGGTTTGAGAGAGGGATTGAAGGGGGAAGGGTGTCATTTTACATTTGAAAATATGACTTCTGCAATAGGTGGAACAACCTGTTGATCTATTGTACAACATTTGCAACAGTTATAACTAATAGCAAAAAAAAATTGCTAAATCATCATTAAACAAACTATTATTCATCATTAGCAACAGCTTTAGAAATAGAGGACTCTAGCTCTTTAGCTTTTTCATCATTAATGCCGAGGTTGGATAGTATCTTGTGACCCGGGGAATCCACTTCAGACCAAATGCCAAGAATTATGTGTGCTGTGGTTATTTCCCCGCCATCGCCTGCATATCAAATATGAAATTATAAGAACATTTTTTTTGTATAGAAACATAGAAAAACATGTGATAAGAACGGTCAGTTTTAGAAGAAAAATAGATGATGATGCAACACATTCCATTCACCAATTGAGTGTATGACAAGAAAATACTCCCTCTCTAACAAATTATAAGCAAAAGTTGCCTAATTTCTTTCTATTAATTGACATTATACACAAAACGTGCCCTTTATTTATTTATCTTTTTTGACTACATATTTTATTTAATTTTCATTTTCGATAAACTAATTTATTATCGAAACAAGTTTAGGATTGTCGATACATATTTAATATTAGTACTTTATTATTTGTACAACAATTTATATACAATTAATGTTCTGCTCATAATACGTAGGAGCACATAAGGTTTTTTCTTTTAGAGTGGAGGGTGATAAGCTTAGGAACAAAGTTTCTTTTTACTAAAACAACTAATGTTAGATTAAGATTAATGCCATTTTTTAATAATAAAAAATATGAGGCCTATTTTGGGCAAATTAAATAACTTTTTGACTGAATTTGACAAAAAAAAATGTAAATAACCATATTTTTGTCGATCTATTTTCAAAAAATTATATTTTGAATTTTTTAGTCCCCAATTTTACTTTTTATGAATTTTCATCGCTCTCTTTTTTTTTTCTTTTTTTTTCTAATCTAATTTATTTATTAATGACAGAAATATACATATGAAAATATCTTACTTGATTATTGTTTCCAAAAATCGAAGAGTACCAACATCAACAAAAATTACCTTAAAATGAGGGTAGAAATTCTATAAAAAATGTGAAAGTGGAAAACCAAAAACTGATTTTTAAATTTTAAAATAGGAGGATCAAAACTTTATTTACTTTATTTTTTATTTAAATAGAATATAGTATAAATTAGCAGTGCTATATTGATAAGGAACTATTATTCTTATCCCAACAAAATTCAATCACCAGACAACTATGAAGCATAAAGAGCCTTTAACACAAAATCATTCTATTCTATGAAACAAAAACCATCTAACCAGTAGCAAGGAACATAACACCAAAATTGTGAAAACGAAAAGAAAAAAAATATCATATTGCTATAGGACCAAAGGGTATGTTTGGCAAACACCATAAACTAACTAAAAACTTATAAGTTCAAATGATTAAGCCTATGTTTCAAATTCTGGAAAAACCACGGTCTTAACGCACGGTTTGGTAAAAGCTAGTACTTGTGGCTTCACAAAAATCATGGTGGAAGGGTGTGAAACGTGAGGTGGCGGTGGCTCACCTCGTTTCCAAACACACAATACGAAAAACTATTTTGATAACTGCCACTTTCTCACAAACTTATAGCTTATTTTTATTAGCTTATAGCTTTTTTATAAGCTACTTCAACTTCATGTAGCTTATATAGCTTAAAAATCATCACTTATCATTTTTTTTTCACAATTTAACCTTTGTTATCTTAATTGAGAAAAATTAATTATTACTGAAAGTCTGAAACATATCTTTTATATGTAACATCATAATTATAAGCTACTCCAACAACTAATTTGACCGATCACTACAAATCATTTATCTGTAGGGGATAGCTTATACTAGTTTATAAGCCCTTGTGATCAAAATAGACCTGTTTGATAACTATTTTTTACCATGAGCTTAAAGCATTTTTTTACTAGCATAAAGCATATGTGTTAAGAGTCCCACATCGGACAATATATGGCATGAACATGTGTTTATAAGTGGGGGTAATCCTCACTCTACCAACCGGTTTTGTAGAGTTGAGTTAGGCTCAACCACACTTTTTAACATGGTATCAGAGTCTCGTTTAAGATTCGATGGGCCACCTTCTATGGTTTCCGCTATCGGGCCACACACTATTTATTTCCACGCTTCAGATGTCCAGTCCTGAGCGTGAGGGAGTGTGTTAAGAATCCCACATCGGACAATATATGGCATGAACATGTGTTTATAAGTGGGGGTAATCCTCACTCTACCAACCGGTTTTGTAGAGTTACTTCTTAACACATATTTTGATAAGTTACTTCAAGTAGCATTTGAGCTTCCAGCTTACCATTTTCTTAAATCAATTTTACCCTTATTAAAAATACCTTTCTATTAATTTCGTACTTTTATTAAATAATTCAACATTTAATTTACTAAACACTACAAATTCAATTTGTTAACAGATATAACTAATTTACTATCTACTGTAAGCTTAGTCACTATCAGATATCCATTATCTTTTACTACCAAACAGAGACTAATTCATTACAATTTCAATTAGAATGAAATTCATAAACCAACTAAAGACATCATCAACCTGAATGCAGGAACTACTGTTAAATATTTTTGCTACAAGAAAAGCGTTAGGACCAAAACACCACACATCATTAGCACACATGATTAACACAGATACTCATTAGCCAAATTTTATAATCTAAATTAGGTGACTAGAATCATGATTAATAATAGCAGTTGACCCAGGGATTTGTATAAAAATGTAACTCCCATTTTCAACTTCAACCACATTTTATTTGGCTGGATCACATCCGAAAACATAAAATCCTATACAAATTATGTTACTCACCTATGAATTTTCATGTCGAATTTGTTAGTTTTGTTAAAAAGCAACGTCTTCTTGGCATAAGCTAGAAAATTGAAGTTTCAATGCCAAGGTCCTACGGTTTTTGGGTTCAATTTATTCTAACCATAGCATCGTTCCATAAAAGAAAACGGGAAAAATCTGTCAAATATTGAGTTTACATGCAATTAACAAAGTTAGACAGAGTAAGACAGTCATAGAAAACTATCAACAAGAATTGAGGGCATATATATCCACAATGTTATATAAGTTTTGTGAGTAAGCAGCATTTCACTTTTCCACAACTAATGACAAACAATAGGAAATGAGAAAAATGGCAACAACAAACCTGATTTTAATTTTTTTTCAACAGCCCAATCAAGGGCCTTCTGAGCATCATCGGTCATTGGAGGACACTCGGGGATTTTTGAAAACATATTAGGTTTTCCAAACATGTTCACAATTTCATCTCGCACCATGAAAAGTGTAATTCCGTTGGCTCGCAAAAACTTGTTAGCCAGATTAGTACCTAGAACCCCAAAGATAGATCAGGCTCAAAGTACAAACTTAAATATCCAAAGCTTTCATTGTAAAGAGCTTACGTAAGGATAACAACACGGGAGATGTGAATAATTAATGGCTAAAACTTAGATACAGTGCCATTGGTACTACTGCTGGTGCTGTTCAATATAAAACACATTCGAGGATTCAATTTTTCTGACTCTGAAATTCCAAAGGCAGGGAAACAGCAAATCATTCACCACCATAACCATTGAAATGTCACAGCCACCTCCAAGGCACCACATTCCTTTGTTCCGTGCGCATCATGTGACCACCCCAACGAATGGCCACTACATAAGAGACTCTCTAAGCCGCAAAAACCAACCGCAAAACACTGAATCTTCCCTTTTCCCATAAAGGGCTGCTATTAAGGGATTAAATGGTTTGTAGATCATTCTTTTAATTTGTTTTGTTTTTGCCTCATGCTTGCAATATTAGTTATAGTTAGACGAGGAAAGTGCGCAAGGGAAACATGGCATAATATAAAGGTTTGCCTATGGTTGTTGGACTTGCTGATGGTTTGGTTGTGTCCCTGGCCTGCATCAAGAGAATGAAGGCAATGGTTTTGTGGGAGATTTTAATTTTTGGGAGAAAATAGACACGTGTAATTGTTTTGTTGGGGAAACAATACCAACAGAACCATTGGTAATGTACCTACGTTTGTCCTTAATTAAAAACCTCCCAAACATAATAATAGCAAAACTTTGGGAAAAATGAATTACTTGTGGCCTATAGTTAGTTGTTAGGAGAGGGAATCAACTCCTTACACAAGCCAAGTATTATTCTAAAGACCAGGTGTAAATAGGAAATGAGCATATTTGCATAAGATGAAATGACTAAACTTTTATGAATTTATAAATGAGAAAATGGGACGTGCACTGATAGTGTAGAATAATTTTATATTGTCGACCATATATTTTTAAAATACTTATATGACATGGCAAAGAGGTAGATTTTTATTGGACAGCCGTGTAAAATTATTTTGCACAGTTAGTATATATCCATTAAACTCTATAAATTAGTGAATTTAGGAATCAAGAGAATTATGCAAATGAAAATTTGAATTTATGAAGCAAATGACAGAAACTCGTCTATGGTTATCAATAAACCTAGCTTCTAGGACATGGAAACATGAAAAACTAGTGTGTGGAACAACAAAATTCTGCATCATATGCACATTAAAATCAGTAATAATATCAAGAACTGTCCTAGTCGCAGTGAACTACGTTCCCATCAAAACAAATTAACACACTCCAATAAAGATTACAATTCAAAAGAAATATGAAAGATTGGAAGCAAATGACTTACCCTCAACAAGAACCCCCATGATAAGGGCTTCAGTACCAGTAGTAGTAAGCTTGAATTTCCTCGCCTCCACTGCAGCCATTGCAAACGACTTTACAGCCTTAGAAGACCATCTTGCTTTCAACAAACAAAATCAAAAATCAACAAGCCACATATTGAATGAACGAAAAAAAAAAAAAAAGAATTTCAGTCACGCAATACTCACTTGGGAATTTCCTGGCCAGGAGAAACGAGCTCTGGATTTCTGAAAATGCAAAACGATTAACAGTTTACAAACCTAAAATGGAACAAACATGCATTGAATTTGGGAATGGGAGATGAAGCTTACGAGGTGGGGAGGCTGAAGGGAGCAGTGGCGGCGACGGGGCGGCGGTGTAAAACGGACACCGGAGGTCTTACAATAAGAATGCACGGTTGAACCCTAATTTTGGTTCCTAGCCATGAATTGTTGGGGTTTGTTAGCTTCGAATTGTGAACCAAATGGATCGAAGGGTTTGAACGCAATACCAAGGTTGAGGGGCAATGGTAGTGCGTAGCAGCCATTTTTGCGACGAAAATGCGAGAATTCTGATGGAATGGGATAGAATGTTTTATGAAGAAACTGCATACGGCGTCGTATTACTGATGGGCTTTGAGAGGTTTCATAAGGGATTGGGCTTAGGCCTCCAAAATTTTATAGAAATCCTTATTACACTTCCCATATAGGGTATTACTTTACACACTCCATGGATATTACTTTACACACTCCATGGAGTGAGGTTCAACACAATAAAAATTCAATTTTGTCATTCTCAAATTTTAGAGATGTATTTTCGGACGCATTTAATACACATAAAAAATATATTGCAAGTGAGACACACCCCATTCATGCAAAAAATGAATTTGGGAGATGCATCTCCAGAATACCTCATGGATGTCATTGATGGTGTTTTAAGTCGATTGAACTAGTTTAATCAAATCAGTGAAATTTAATAAAACAGCACCCATATATATTCTTCTTCTTCGTGATCAAACACCAGCATTATTAAAAACCTTAGGGTCCGTTTTGGAGTGGGTTTTTTTTAGGGGTTTTAAGGATAAAACTTTGGAGGGTTGCGTTTATAACTTGAAATGTGTGTGATATTTTAAAAAAAAAAATTAAACAATATACGACTTTACCATATAAAATTATATTGTTTTTTGAATTTTTTAAAATTATCAAAATATTTCAAGATATAGACACAACCCTTAAAAGCATTCTCCTCTAAAACCCTCCAAAAACAAACTTCTAAACAGACCCTTAAAACCCTTCTTTCATTCTCAATCAATTTTTGCACTCTAAAACAACATATTCATGTTTTATCGCGTCAAAAGGAGCAAAAAAACGACAATTTAAGGTTAAAAAACATGTGTTTTCTTCCACATTGCTTGCATTAATCTGGTTTTTGCTGTGTAAAAATGAACGTTGGGTTCGGAAATACATCTCTGGATTAGGTTGCATGTATTTCGAATATACACTTCCAAAATGTTCCGAAGTTGAATTTGAATGTTAAATTTGTTTTTCTGTTATGCTTGGATGTAGATATGGTGCACCCGGATATTTTCCCAAAGGCTCAAGACTTCTTTGCTCAAGTCCTACAGACTCAAGACTTTCTTGCTTAGACTCTTATCCTAAGACTTTTATGCTCAGGTCCCTCAGACCCGAGACTTCTTGCTCAAGTCCCTCAGGCCCAAGACTTATTGCTCATACCCATGGTCAAAAATTTCCCTGCTCAGGTTCCACGAACCCAAGACTTTCTGCTTAAACCCCTCAATTTTAAGACTTTTGCTCAGACTCTCGATCCAAGACTTCCTTGCTTAAATCCCACGGATTCAAGACATTTGCTCAATCAATCCACTTGATTAAGACTTTCATTGATCCAGCACATAGCAAGAGACTTACATGGATCAAGCATCTTGGTGAGAAACTTAGTTTCTCAATCAATCCACTTGATTAAGACTTTCAATGCTCTAGTACATAGCAGGAGACTTACATGGCTCAAGCATCTTGGCGAGAGACTTAATCTAAACGGTTAAACAACGTGTTCAGCATAATAGAGAAGAGGGTGTACTTGATACAAATATCAGAGGTACAAGGAAATCACCATAACAAAGACCTAAATCTTCTAAAAATTTCTAATATATTCAATGTTAAGAAATATTAAGGCTTTTAGAATTACAACCTACAACAGAAATTTTGCATACTCGATTGTGTTGGTAATTGCTAATCTTATTACTTTTCTATCAGGTTGATCCTTATTAAAGATACAGTTTGAGCCTTTAGCTACTTCTATAGCATTTGCACAATACTAGCCGTTTGAGAGATAACTTTATATAGTGTTTTTGCTTTCTTTATAGTACCAGAGACGTTGAAGAATGACACACCAAAAGATCTTAATCTATTGTGTAACGTGTTTAACCATTATATCTTCAAAGAGATCCTGAACTATAGAGCCGTTGAGAGTAGATATCGATAAAGAATGCCAACTTTTCTTGAGCCATGTGAACTAAGACTTTAACTGACAAACTGATTTAACAATGCAACTTCCTTTCTACAATATAGATAGCTTCAGCTTTATCACTAAGTGTAAAGACAATTATGTTGCTTCTTTTGATGTTGAAACCTTCATCTTCAGAGTCTACGTCAGACATCACTTAGAGAGTGTTCTTTAGAATCTGCACCACCAGAAGCTAGAAATTCATCCTCTCTCAAGTGTGTCCTTGTATATCAGATTCTGAATATATATTGTTTTGCACTGGACCAGGACCTGCCCTTCAGTCGGGCAGGCCCAACTCAGTGTTATGCTGGTGAGGCTCAACAACGCTCAATTTCCTCTGTTGAGCACAAGACTCACCAGTCGAGCAGGAGACTCTCTTGACGGGGAAGCCCATGCGCTTCCTCCACGTTCACCATGTGTCCCTCACGCGGGGGCACATCATCAGGAAACTACCCACTTCCGAAAGAGATGGTCATCCCACCTTACGAAGATCACGGGGTAGTTGATCCAGGGCGAAGACCATGTGCTGGTCTTCACTATGCCACATAAGCATTGGCAGTTACTTGTGTTGGGCTTGGCAATCTGGCTCAATGTAAAGTAATTGTTGGCCCTGCGCCGGGGGCACATTATAAATACCCTATTTCACTAGAGGGTCATGTATTATATTTATTACACCTTCTCTATGTACTTGCTCTCTCTAGTCCCGATACTCATTTAAGCATTAGAGCATCTTGTAGGTACACCCATTTTTCTCCTCCACAGCATCGATGAAGGCAGCAACTCTCGACCCGTGGTAGGCTATTGATTCCTTTCTGATCAGGTAAGATCGGTGGCGCCATCTGTGGGAAACTCTGCTTCCCCGTTCTTTCTCCTGTCCAAGCACAAAAGCTTAAGAACTAAAGCAACCTTCAACTTCCATTTTAATCATGGTCAGTCCACGCAATGACAATGCTCCAGGATATGCCTTTGCCCCCTTCTCCAACGAGGACGTCCACGACCCCAATGCAACTGCCTGCAATGAAGAAGGCGACCACAGGGACGGGCGCACCGCCTTTCTCTCCTCAGAAGATGCAACATTCAACGCTACTCAGCACTTAGACAGCCCGACTGTCTACCAGCCCATCCCGGTTTCAGCTGGCACCGATCCTACCATGGTGGCCCTGTTTGCGATAATCAATCAGACCAACTTGATGATCTTCGAGCAGAACGAGCGAATAAGGATGCTCGAGAGGGAAAGACCATCACGCTCTCCCCCGTGGAGACATTGTCTCCCAGTTTCCATCAGTCATTCCCCTCATCCACGGAGACACCGTCGCCCAGTTTCCATCAGTCATTTCCTCCCCCGCAGAGGACGTGGCTCGTCGAGGACTCACGGGGTCCCTCTCCCCTACCAACGAGGTGTCGCCCTCGTTTGGAGCAACCTCAACAGTTGGTTTCCCATAAACGGGACAGGTCGCCTCCGCGAAAAGAGCGATGTTTTGCAACTCAGAAGAAGAAGGCCGCAAGGGGCCCCTCCAGAACGAGAGCTCGGTCGAAGAGTCCTCCACGCTAAAATATAAACCACCAGGGATCAGCTTCCCCCTCGTTGTCGCCCATCAGGAGCGACGAAGATGTCCAGCGCTCACCGCTATGTAGAGCCATCAGGGAGGCCTCATTGCCCGCCGGGATGGAAAAAACCCCCATCTTGGCAACGTACAATGGCACGACTGACCCGGACGACCATATCAAAAGCATCAACGCGATGCTCGACTATCGTAACATACGGGGGGGCCATCAAGTGCAGACTATTTCCCACTACCCATGGCGTGGTATAAACGTCTTGCGCCTGACTTCGTCACCTCCTGGGGTGAACTGAAGCGGTAGTTCTCTAGGCACTTCACGGCTTCCCGACGTCATCCGAAGACAGAAGCAGCCCTGAAAGCCATTATCCAGCGCTACTCACAACTCCCCGCAAGCGGGTCCTGTCCGAATGTATCAATTCGGAATTTCAGAGAAGTGGTGTCCGATTCCCGAAACTGACACCCCCGAAGCCCAACATAGACAAATTCAAATACTGTTGGTTCCACCGGAGCCATGGACACATCACGGAAGATTGCATTCATCTCAAAGATGCAATCGAGATCTTAATTAAAGAAGAGCATCTGAAACACTATACCCGGAGGGGTGAAGCCCCCCGACCTGAGACCCGCGAGGCCAAGAGGGTTGAGGAAGCGTCAATTCCCTCTGACGAAACGGGACTGCAAGTGGCCCTATGCGTCTCCCGACCAGAAGATTTCCTCCCTTTTAGCGAGCCCCTCAGACCACTGTCCGCCCACAACTCGTAGGAGGATTTCCCTGCCACACTGGTGATATTTAGTGGGGGGGACCAGCAAGCTATCAGTTGGATCGATGAAAAGGAAGTTCGAGGAACTCATCGACAAGAGCTCGAAGATGAACGCTACCCTCGACAAGTTCAAAGGACAATCAAACCCGATCACCTTTTACCTTGAGGAGCTTCCCGGAGGAGCGCCCAACTTCAGTATTCCCCTCCTGATCAGAGCTCAGATGGAGAACTTCGATGTCCGCCAAATCCTAGTCGACCAAGGGAGTTCGATGAACATAATGTACGCCAACCTGTTCACGACCCTGCAGCTCGACGAGAACCACTTGACCCCATATGTGGGCTTCGACCTCCTCCAAGGCTTCAACGGAACCACCAATAAGCCTTGGGGATACGTAAAACTGCTCGTCATATTCGGGGTCGAGGAGACTGCCCGACAGGTAAAAGTCCGCTTTCTGGTAGTTGAATGCCCCTCCTTATATTAGTGCATCATGGGACGACCAACTTTGGCCGAACTGACCGCGGTATCTCAACAGTCCACTTACAGATGAAATATTACACAACCAGATGGCGGGTCGTCACCCTCCACGGGACAAGGTATGCAACTTTATGGCTTTTGTTTCTCAAATTGAGGAAAGGAAGTTGGTGTAGCTTTGCCTTAGATCTCAAGTCAAACCTATAGGAAAAAGTCATGTGTGTTGATTGAG